TACTATAATATGAATCAAAAATCTCATTTTTTGTTAAAAGTCCCCAGAACCCATTTTTAATAGCAAAGCTCCCATTTGATTATGGTTATATCTTATAAAAGCAATATGAAGCAATAGAAATACCAGCATTTTTTGAACATAAATATAATTCATTTAAGGTTAATTCCTTACAACAAACGTTGTAAACTTGAAAATCGTTGTTGGCCAAAGCTTCATGAGGTACGAAGGCACGCTCATTAAAAGCTGATGTGTCTTGTATATTATCAATATTTGGAAGACTCGTTGTCATTTTGAGTTTTATATGAAATAGTCATTTTTAACGCTTATAATAAATTTTTTGTATTATAGAGCTCAAAAAGTTTAGACAATATTTTGGAAAAAGGAGAAGTTTATAATAAATTGCATAAAAAAAATCCACACGTTTATACATTACTTTAATTTTTCGAAAACAATTAATTTACGACTTTTTTTTTAAAAAAAAAATGTCCTCATTTGTAAGTAAACAAAAATTATTTATAGAAAATATTCCTAAATTGGCATAAATAGCTGTTGTACGATGTTAAAATTTACTCTTTATATTATCAGCATTGACCAGAAAAGAAAATAAAATAATTAGGTAAATAAAGATTACCATCTAAATTATTGAATGTTAAGTCATCGGTTTTGGGTTAGTTTCATTTTTTTTTATTTTTATTGTCGACCACATACAAAAAATAAAAAAGTACATAACCCGGAGTGCATATGTAATTAGAATTGAATAAAAGATATAATATGACGAAACAACGAAGCTATTACGAATTCCATGTTTCAAAAGAGAAATTTTTGATGTGGTGGCGGTGAAGTATAATTAACTTGTTAATTTATTTTACCTTGCCTTTCTAGTTATAATAAGATACGTTAAAAAATCATTGCTACTACAATTATAAAAAAGAAGACCGTATTTCGTAAATATTTTAATTAGGGATGGTAACGGTTCTATCGGTTCATTTCGGCTCCTATTCGGTTCTGCTGCGCTATCCTATCCTAAATATATTGAAAACTAGGAGCTTCAAGTTGGTTTCATACAAGTACAGCATGTTATGAACAATTAAAAAATTATTTTTTTTGATTGGTTATCAAACAAATTCGGTCTATAACTACAGTAGACTCTTTTGAGTCGTCTCAATTTTCAAAATTGGTAGAAATGGTTCTAAACTCATAATTTGCTGAATTACGAATCGGTTCCAGAACTGACTCCGAGTCGCTCTTTTTGAACCGTTCCCATCCCTAACTGTATGTAGTTATCGGAGATACCATTGGTTTGTGGTTTGTCTTTGCCGTTACACAAAATACCAAAATTAAAAATTTTACTTTTAAATTTTTAACATAAATATATTTATGACCGTATTCCAGTTTTCGTTTATATTTTTATGTAAATTCACATAATAGCTTGTTCTTATGAAGTAATATTTTTAAATTTTCGCAATATAATATTTATAGTAATCTTTGAATGCAAATTAGTTTTACCCTTATCGGGAAAGGGAATGTATTTTCATTCATTGGCATTTACTATTATAAAGTCGCGATAACAAACACGTATATAAATCGAATTATGGTAATATATTTTAAAAATTATCGTTATGAACAGGGTCAAATTTTACTCTAAATATGATATAATACAATGACCAATGTTAAAAGCACCATAACAGATAAGATTAACATCCAATATTTTTTTTGTATAAAGAAAATTAGGTTCAGCAACATATCACAAGGGAAAAAAGATTCGATAATAATTCTCCTATTTTATTAGATTAGTAAATTATGATTTCCATGCAATAATGCAATAACACCTTTTAATTATGACGAAATAAAAAATAAAAATAAAAAATCTTAATGTATAAGAGAGAGGTGTGTGTGTGTGAGAGATAGAAAGAGAAGAGTGAGTGAGTGAAAAAAAGTAATAAAAAAACAAAAAAAATTAAACAGAATTTGAGGTTAAAGAAAAGTAAAGAATAAGCATATCATAATTTATAAACCAAATAAACCATAATTTGTTATAATGGTTTATTATTCGCTATTACAATAGTTGAAATGCACTCCAAGTTTCTGGTACATTTACTTCGTAAGATAATGGAGTTGCAATTTGAGTTTGTAATTGCATTTGACTTTGCATCTCAACAGGAATTTCTATATCAAAATTTGATAGCGATTGAGGGATTTTCGAATTAATCAACTTATTTAGTAAACTATCCAATTTTCCAATTCGGTTATTAAGAATGTCGATAGGTGCAGTTAACATCGGAGTTTGTAACTGACTTTGCATCTCTAAACGATCCACTGTTCCAATATTATCTAATGATTGGGGGATAGTTGTATTAGATAATTTTCCAATTCGATCAGTAATAACGCCGATAGTGGTTGTCGGAGTTGCCAATTGAGTTTGTAATTCCATTTGCTTTTGAATTCTAAATCTTTGTAATAACTCGTTACTAATTAGTTTAGATAGATTAAAAAGTTCTTCTGTTCCAATATTAGATAATGGATGAGGAGGATGAGAATTTATTTGCGCATTATTATGTTCTGTTGCGTTAGTTAACTTATATACCAAACTTTCTAAATTTCCGATTCGATAATTTAGGACGTCATTACATTCTTCATTTTGCTCATATTGTCTGCTATAATTATCATTATTGCTTTTTTTTATATCTTTTGAAGCCTTTGGAGATTTCTTTTTCGGTGTTGGAGGATTTGCTCTTCTAACTGTCATGATATGAGTTCTTCCAGTTGTGT